AAATGTGCAGGTGCAGCCCCTTCTTATCAGAGATACCGGTGGGCTCTTGGTGTACCCCGAGGGCAGCACCCCCTTCCCACGCTGGTCGTGTCCCCGTCGCAGGGAGCTGCTGGCCCTGCCTGTGCGGGGGATGCACAAACATCGCTTCATCCCCCGATGCTGGCTCCAGGGGACCCCGGGAATGCCCAGGAAACACCGGTGTGCCCCTCCGCAGCCCTCTCCCCTGTGGCGATGGAGACACACACAAACACCTAGTTTTGTCTTTTTATAGAAAATGGCAACTGTACAGAGACATTTATACGGACAAGGGATGGGAAAGCCAAGGGAGAGGGTCAGGCCTCCCCCCACAACACAGGCGGGCAGGGAAGGGAGTTACAGCCTTTCCTCTTGCAGCCCACGCTGGGACCTCCTGGCACACAACCAGGAGGCAGAAAGAAATGGCAGAATCACCAAAAAAAAAAAAAAAAGTAGGGAAGAAAGGCAAGGAGAATGGGAGAAGGTGGGGTGTGGAGACCTCCTCCTCCTCCCTCAGCCTAGCCCCTGCTGTTGGCTCTTTATGCGGGTAGGACGCAGATGTCTGTGTCCTTGGGGGGCTGCTGGGCAGGGGGACGTGTGCCTAGCAGAGAGCGGGGACAGCGAGGCTGGCTAGGGCTCCCCTCCCCGTTCCTAGGGCTCACCAGCAGAAATGGTGTGGGGTGTTTCCAGGCTTCCTGGAAGGAGAGGAGAGGAAAACAAGTCCCTAGGTGCCTTGGGGACAAGGGCAAGAGATGGAATAACACTGGATACCAGCCTTCAACTCTGTCAGTGAGGAGGCGGCTAAGAATGGCTTTTGGCCTTGAGCTGGGGAAATTATTTAGCATGGGAGGCAGCTGGACCTCTGTGAGGTCCCAGGGGTCTTACACACACACACACACACAGCATGGGGAAGGAGAAGGCACGTAGGCCTGAAGGCATCACACAGCCGAGTGTGGCAGGAGCCAGGCCAACCCTGCAGGAGTGGAACCGTCCCTGGGTGTACATCTGCCGTGGCAGTGCGATTTGGCAGGGGCAAGTGTGAGATGTTATCTCCCCACGGATTATCTCCCCACGGCGCCGAGGTGTCCAGGGCCTTGGAGGAGGATGCGGAGCTGCCTCTTCGGTGTCCCTGCACCCTCCCGGTGCCTCTGCTAGATGAGAATTCGGAACAGAAAGGAGATGGCAGCTCCTAGGGCCAAGCCCAGCGACAGGAAAAAGGCCATGACGGCTCCAGCTGTCTCCGCTTCGTGGGCAAGCACTTTCCTAGGAGAGAAACGGGTGTCAGACCCATCCTTGGGGATGCGTGCCCTGCTGCGAGTTCAACAGAGAGGTGGGAGGAGGCCACAGAGGAGCCCGAAGCTGTGCTCCTCTGCAGCAGAGGAACAGCAAGAGCAAATCCATCTTGGCTCCAAGAGCCTGCCTCCACATTAGGGGCTCGTAAAGAAAGAAAAAGCGCATCAGGTAGGCTGCTCTGAAGCTCCCAGTGCCAGGGACACCTCTCCCTGACTCCTGCCCCCCCATGCACTGCAGTCTGCCTGGCTGAGCCCCAGCTGGGTTCCTCGTGCTGTCTGTGCTCCTGCACCAAGGCAAGGCTGCTCTCCCTGCCGTGGGTGCTGTGCCACGCTTTGCTCCCCTCCAGATCCCCGCTGCGTGGCGGGTGGGGGAAACGGAGAGCCCAGAAAATAGCTTTGTCACCTCTAGGATATGGAGGCACAAGGCTGGGAGATGGGGCACTGGGGTTGTCTTCCCTGAGGTGGGGTGACACGATTCCCCTCTGCGCCTGCATTCCCTTCTCCAGATGCCAGAGCTGGGCAGAGCCAGACTCGAGTCATGCTGGGGCTGGCATCTGGGGTTGTAACCAACCCTTCCCCTGTCCCCAGCTCTTACTCACTTGGGCCCAAAGCACATGCAAAGGCTGGCCAGGTAGCCGTTGGAGATGGAGAAGAAGATCATGAAGACGATGTACCAGGCGTCATGAGAGAACAGGACAGGCAGGTAGTCACGGGGTTGCACGTTGCACAGCATGAAAAGGGGAATAAAGATGACACGGAGGGCCACCATCACTGGCAGGAGGCAGCTGTCCTTCCCGGGCTGGGAGAAAAAAAAAAACCAGAGGTCACTGAGCCGCTGAGAAGTGGACATTCCCCATCCCATGGCATGCCGGCAGGAGCTATACAGAGGCTGTCCCTCCTGCGCCGGGGCTGCGGAGGAGCCACAGAGATGGTAAAGTTGCTGAGAGACTTTCTCCACTGCAACAAATCTCAGCATCGCTACCTGCTGTGATAAGAAGGTCCTACTACATCTGAAAGTCCTATCCTAGCTGACTTGGAGAGCAGCAGCACTAGAGGCAAAAAATACTGAGCTGGGCTTGCGAGCAACTGCTAAGCCCTTGCTGGAAACAACAGGCAGGAGAGCCTTGTGCACACTCACGCAATCTCCTCCTGCAGCGAACCACCATGCAGGACAAGGCCGGCTGAGGTAAATCCCCTCTGGCACCTCAGGGCCTGCAAACTGGGCTTTAGCAGCTCTTCAGCCTCCTACGCCATCCCCCAGAGCCAAGCGGGGCGAGATCCAGCAATCTGGGAAAGGGATTATGCTGGGGCTGTTTCAGACAAGGCTGGGAAAGGCATGGACTGAGTTACGGTCTCCTCAGATCCGGAGTCCCTGGACACATGAGGCTGGGATGAAGAAGGAGGCATCGTCCCCCTGTGTTGTCCCTGCAGCTGGGACCGAGGGAGCCCCTGGTACGAGATGTGCCTGGCTCTGTCTGGACTCCCCTCGGTGAGGTGCCAGGGTCGCAGATGACAGGGGCTCACTGCTCTGGGCTCAGAAGAGACCCACGGCTGCCTCGGGAGCTGCTGGGCTGGTGTTGCCACAGGACACTTCAGGAGCACAGGGGGAAGCTGAGGTTAGGGCAGCTGCCGTGTCTGGGGGCAAACTGGCAAGAGCAGCAGCCTCTCCTGCTTGAGGAGAAAAGGAGTGAGCGGGGCCTCAACCAGGGAAATAAGGCTTAAACCGCACGCAGTCAGACTTTCCACACAGCCTTGTTTTGGAAATGTCTCCTGCTGGGTCATCCCACCACGGAGGCTGCGGCCTGGACACCAGGCAACACGGCTCAAAAAGGCGGCCAGCAGTGAGGGGCCAAGGGAGAAGCAGCTCCAGGCCGTGGGGAAGCCAGGCTTGGACAGACCCCACGGCACGTGGTGCCGAGGAGTTTCTCCAAACAAACAGCCTGAACAATACGGGGGCGGGGGGGAAACAGCGCTTGGGAGGTGGGCGAAGGGGCAAGAAAAGACACAGATGGGACAGCCCCCTTCCTCACCCACCCTCATCACAGCTCCCATCACTCAGCCCCAACAGCTCTGAGCCGGGCAGGGGAGATGAGAGCAAGGGGACGTGGCAGGGGATGGCTCTGTGACCCACATGGTGTGGCTTTGCCCTGCTCTCAGGACAAGGCTCTTTAAAGCAGCTGTGTCCTGTGCTGAGGCCAGAGGTTTTATTTTGGGCTGCCCTGCCTTTCACCCTCTACCCCTGCCGCCATCCTGTCTCGATGTTTGCATAGCTGGAGTGAAGGTTTGTTTACAAAGGGGATGAAATGGAGGAGGCAGCTTCATCCAAGCCATGCTGAAAGAGAGGTGGGAGGAGGACAGGACAACACTATGGCTCTCGGCTCTGACCCGTAAATCTCTGCTTAGGACTTAACGCCAAGGCAGGAGTCGGCTCTGCACCTCCTTCCTGCTCCAAGCCATGGATGGCAGCCCCAGCGGGAGCCGTGGCCGAGGGGCCTGGGGATGGAGACTGCCTGGGCATTTGCTCCTTGCCCCATGCTTACCCATGTGAAGAGGGCAGTGAGACTCCGACCCGTCCAGTCAAAGACATTAAAGAGCAGGAAGCAGGAGACGGGGATAAAGTAGAGACCTGCAGAAGGAGGAGAAGATCACTGATGAGCCCAGGGTGTTCCAAGCCCTCCTGCCAATTGCACAGAGATTGGCCTTCAGGTGGTCTTCCTGGTTGTCCACTAAGACCTGAGATGGTTTCCCAGCCAGGCCGGTGTCCACATCCAAACCATCATGCACAGTGGTTTCCTCTTCCTCTCAGGCACACCGTATCAGGTTTGCATGGATAGATTTTGGTAGTGGGGGGCTACAGGGGTGGCTTCTGTCAGAAGCTGCCAGAAGCTGCCAGAAGCTTCCCCCATGTCCGATGGAGCCAATGCCGGCCGGCTCCAAGATGGACCCGCTGCTGGCCAAGGCCAAGCCCATCAGCCGTGGGAGTAGTGTCTCTGGGACAACAGACTTAAAGGGTAAAAGAAAACTGTGCTACTCCAGCCGGAGACAGGAGTGAGAAGATAGGAGAGCAACAGCCCTGCAGACCCCAAGGTCAGTGAAGAAGGA